CCACTCATTATTCTATCTTATTATACCTGGCAACTTATCTAACTTTTGGGCTATTCAATTATCTAATTTAGTTCCCCATAGTCTTTCTATTCATTGTCACCTAGAAAAGTATGATCTTACCTTGTATTGGTAAGAAGAAAAATAATGTAAGAAAAGATGAGAAGTTTATATTGGTTAGTGTAGTGAAAGAGAGAGCCGAGACAAAGAAAAATATTTTAAGTCTTAATTATATTTAGGGTATAAAAAAGAATAATTATATGTTGAAGAAGGTGTTCTATTTGTGGACCTTTGACTTTTCAACTAATCGGTGTATATTATGCCGCAATGAACTCGAATCTCCTTAAAGAGAGTGAGATATCCACACCTCAACCTGAATATTTTTTTATTCATTTTTTGTCATTTTATTTCAACTATAATTTATAATATATATTACTCCAACAATTTAATTAGTATACAATTAAATTAGAAAAAAGTGAAGCCCTTGAGGCTCCAAGTATTTGTTTTATAGTTAAGTCGATCCTGTAATTAGGTAGAATCAAGACAAAGTACGTACATAGAGACAAAAACACTATTTTTTGCCACATTCATGAACGACGATGTTACTGTTTTATTAACACCGACTTTACAATTCTCTGATATCAGTAATTAAAATTATTTATGTTTTAGTTTTCACATATTAAATTATCCAACTGATTTTCTATATATAATAATGAGCTCGTTTATAACTTACAGCCAAGACAAATTATTTCCATAAAGAAATTTAATAGTGGGACAACGAAACTTAGTAAGCAGATAACAAGAGGGACTGAGGGAGTTACTCAAATGGTAAATACTTTTCAATTTCAATTCTAAAATTAATAAATCTTTACTATGTGAATATATATAGTATTAGAGCCCATTTGGATTGGTTTAAAGATGTAATTTTAAGTAAAAAATAAAAGGTCAAATTGAAAAGACTTTTAAGTAAAAAATCAAAAGTAGGAGTCATTTTTTACCTTGCCAAACACCTCCTAACTTATTGTAAATCATTTTTGACTTATTTTAAGTTATTTTTTATTTTTGCCAAACAGTTTCAGAAGTCAAAAACTGATTTAAAAATAGGTTTAACCAACTTTTAAGCCAATCCAAACACCCTCTTAGTATCTCCAGTAAGAAGTTAAAAATTAATTCTAGAACAACTAAATTTTAAAATTTCAATTATTTTTAAGAGATGGTCCTAAAAATGATTATTCGTACACTTTACTTCTTGTTATGAAATGAATGAAGAAAAGGCAAATAACACAAATAATTAAGGGAGTGCAAAAGAAATTTATGATTTGAAGTGATAATGGGCCTTAATGGTTGCTTATGCATCCTTTTAGGGCCTTTAGGAACTTGGCCCAATGGGCTTAAACATGGGTAGCTTCCCTTTTTTATAGAGCTTCAGACCTTTCAATCAAGAACGACTTTCACATATAGCAAATACAAAAATCATATTTGTATGCTATAACTATAGTTTGCATAATTGTGCTCCATAGCAAACATAAATATGTATATTTCGCTATACATATACAAACGAAAGCAGTTGTATAATCTGCTTTGGTATACATATACAAAAGATCAATTGTATAATTTGTGTTTGTATAAAGCGAGAAAGAGAGAAAGACAAAAGAAAACT